GCCTCTCGTCGGTGTTTTGTCTGCCGTGCCGGAGGGAAAAGATAATTTGGGCTTGGCCGGAGACTTGGCCGACAATTGGCCGGGAAATGGACGGGGGTCCAGATTGCCAGGAACCCCGCCCTTCCCCTCCATGGCAGCCACCCGCCAACACATCTGCTGGCGTTGTCCACCGTTGGGCACGGCAAGGCCCTGTACCTAACTTGACCCCTCCTGCCAAATTGGCTCTCGGGCTTCCATTCACCTCAGGGTAGGAGGTACCTTGCTTCCATTAGGTACATTACCCAGGTAGGCGAGGCATCGTACAGAGAATGACACCACCTGGCAGGAACGCGGAAAGTGAGGTGGCCTCAGGGAGGAGCATGAATGCTCTGCAGACTGGAAGCTGGAAGCATCCGTAGCCATATCCATGCTGCTGGATGGTGACCTTCAGCAGTGGGTTATGGAAGTTTAAGTGGAAGGTACCTTGACCTCACAGACCAAGAGTTGATCGACCCCACTTGTGCACGAGACAGAAGTGCACTACACACTCTACCGACTTTTGGATTGTGCCTGTGAATGGAGAAAAAAAAACACAAAGGCGGCGAGCAGCGACACCACCTGCCACCTCTGGAGTTGGACCTTACCCGGTCGACTACCTTAGCCTACGATATCCCCTCAGCCTTGCACCACTGCACAACCTTCCTCCTACTCCTCCTCTCTCTGCTCGATCATCCTACGACCACCTGCGATTCGCCCCCAAGGCCAAGAACTGCATATCGCCTGCTCCCCGCCGACATTCGCTGGCCCGCCTCGTGCTCGTCTCCGACCAAAGTACCTCTCGTGTGTGTGCACATTGAACCTCCCAACGCATCCGATCACCAATTCCCTCTGCCTAACGTATCGATCCGAACCGGGCCATGGGTCTCCAGTAGCTGCGTCGCCGCTTCCACGTCGAGCAAGAATGCTGAATGCACAGCTTCAAGCGCTGCCAGAATTATAGCAGCACATTTGCACCAAAAAAGAATTAGCCAGTTTTTCGGCCCTTTGACTTTTCTACCCGCGATATTTATTCCATCCGACGTCTCTGAGCCACATTGCTTAGAATATGGACGCTCAGGTACGTTTGCAGCGCATGTGCGATTGCCGAGTAGCTCGTGGTTGGGCTGCCATAGAAAAAACAAAAACAAATGGCCTCCTCGTCTGGTGCCCCGCCAGTTTGGATCAGCAGCATCGTCACCGCATCCCACCACCGCCTCACCTCCGCCGACCGCGGTTGATATTTGTTGACTGCCTCTGCCACGGCAACCCACTCCTCCCCGCTTCGGCAACCCTGCAAAACAGACGATGATTACCATGCGTAGACCTGAGCTGACCCGACCTCGTTCAGATCGAGAACGCTGTTGAAGCAGCGTTCAACCCCACCGGCAACCAAGACCTCAAGCAACAAGCCTTCGAGTACCTGAACCAGCTGCGAGTCGATCCCCAGGCCTGGCAGGTCTGCACCACCCTCTTCGCCCGAACTCCGAGACCTTCCGAAGTCGTTCGTCTGTTCTGCCTCGAGGTAGTCAACTATGCCGTCCATGCCCAAGGTCTCGACCGGCAAAGCCTCACATGGCTGAAGGACATGCTCCTCGATTACGTCCGGAACATGTACAATGGCTCCCAGCAGGACCAGATCGACCCGGCCCACCTGCAGAACAAGCTATCGCAGACCCTCACGTACTTGTTCGTCTTCTTGTATAACGACGGTTGGGATTCCTTCATCGACGACTTTCTTGCCGTTGCCAGCAGTCCGAACAACACCGCCGGCGTCGTCCTGTACCTGCGAATCCTCGGCTCCATCCATGACGAGATTGCAGACATGCTGTTGACCCGCAACAGCAACGACGCGAAGCGCAACACCGACCTGAAGGACCAGCTGCGTGCGCGCGATGTTCAAAAGGTTGCCCAGTCCTGGAAGGACCTACTGTCGCAGTACTCGGGACAGAATGATCACATAGTGGAGATGGTTCTGAAGGTTATTGGCAAGTGGATTAGCTGGATGGACATCTCCTTGATTGTCAACCAAGACATGCTCGGCCTGTTGCTTCCTGTTATTGGCCGGACAAACAACTCTGGCAGCGAGGACAAGGTCAGGGACGCTGCCATCGACACACTCACCGAGATCGTGGGCAAGAAGATGAAGGGCCCCGAGAAGATGGAGCTCATTTCCTTCCTCAACTTGCGCGACATCGTGTCCCAGCTCATCGCCAGTGCCCCGCTGGCCGACCTGAAAAATACCCCCCAATACGACACCGATCTCGCGGAGGCTGTCGCCAAGCTCGTCAACACCGTCATGGCAGACATTGTGCGCGCACTAGAGGATGGCCAAGCAAATGAGAACACGCGAGCCAAGGCCGAGCAGCACTTGCACGATTTCCTCCCCTTCCTGTTGCGCTTCTTCTCCGACGAATATGATGAGGTCTGCGCGACCGTCATTTCCTCGCTCACCGACCTCCTCACTCTCCTCCGCAAGGTGGGCGCAAACCTTCCTCTCTCTTACAAGGAGATGCTCCCTCCCATCCTAAACGCCATTATCCTCAAGATGCGGTACGACGAGACCTCCAACTGGGGTGATGAGGACGAGCAGACGGATGAGGCAGAGTTCCAGGAGCTACGCAAGAGGTTACAAGTTCTTCAGAAAACTGTTGCGGCCGTGGATCAGGACCTCTACATTGAGGTCTTGAGCAACCTGGTTTCTCATACCTTTACTGACCTCGACCAACGAGGCTCCAACATGGACTGGAGAGACCTAGACCTAGCGCTTCATGAAATGTACCTGTTTGGTGAACTGGCGCTGCCGAATCAGGGGCTGGGCACGAAGAGCCAACCGAACAGCACAGCAACAGAAAGACTGACCATCATGGTGACAAAGATGGTCGAGTCTGGTAAGTCATCACCCCTTCATTTTCGGTGACATCAAGCTGACCCGAGTAGGAATTGCTCAGTTCCCCCACCCCGCCATCTTGCTCCAGTACATGGAGATTTGTGTCCGATACTGGCAAGTGTTTGATGCCCGGCAAGAATACATCCCGCAAGTTCTCGAAAACTTTGTGCGGTTGGTACATCATGACCATGTTCGTATCAAGACACGATCCTGGTACCTCTTCCTGAGATTCGTCAAGCATCTCAGGGCTCATGTCGGCAACGTTGCCGGGACCATCATCGAGGCCATTAGCGACCTCCTCCCGATCAAAGCTGAGGTTTCTGAAAATAACGGAGATGATGATATGTCTTCGGATGAGTCCGACCACTCCGCGGATGCCCTGTTCACCAGCCAACTGTTCCTTTTCGAGGCCATTGGCTGCATTGCTTCGACTGGAAGCACACCCGCAGATAAACAGGCCTACTATGCCCGGCTGGTGATGTCTCCTTTGTTCCGTGACATGGAAGCCCACTTGCCCAAGGCGAAGGCTGGCGATGCCCAGGCCATCCTCCAAATCCACCACATCATCCTGGCCCTCGCAGGCCTGGCTCACGGCTTCTCCGACTGGACTCCTGGCAGCAACTCGGCTCAGCAACGACCTCCCCCAGACAAGCTCGTCTCTGATGAGTTCTCAAGGGCTGCCGAAGCCATCCTAATTGCACTCCGCGAGCTCAACGGCTCCGCCGATATCCGCACCGCCTGTCGAGCTTCGTTCAGCAAGCTGCTCGGAGTTCTCGGGTCTGCAGTGCTTCCTCAGCTCCCTCAGTGGATCGAGGGATTCCTTTCACAGAGCTCGTCCAAAGACGAGATGGCCATGTTCCTGCGATTGCTGGACCAGATCGTCTTCGGCTTCAAGACTGAGATTTATGACGTCCTGAACCTGCTGCTCACCCCCTTGCTGCAGAGAATCTTCGCCGGCCTGTCGGAGCCGGTGACGGGCACAGACGACGAGATCCAACTCGGAGAGCTGCGCAGGGAATATTTGTCTTTCCTGCTGGTGATCCTCAACAACGAGCTGCAGTCGGTCTTCATCAGCGAAGCCAACCAGGCCTTCTTCGAGACAATGATCACCTCTATCCTCACCCTGGGACGCACCCTGGTAGCCGAAAACATTGGACCCAGTCGTCTGGCATTCAGTGTGTTGGCGCGCATGGTCGTCGTCTGGGGCGGCCCCGACGTGGCCAAGATTTCGGACAACCCCTCGCACCCGAGCGGTTCGGCCAACCCATCCATCCCGGGTTTTGATCGGTTCATGATTGAACGTTTCCACCCGCTCTGCTGGGAGGTGTTCCAGGACCCGAACTTCAGGCCGCACAAGGATGCTCAGAGCAAGCAGGTGCTCAACGAGATTGCTGGGCTCGAGCAGGCCATCTATGTCAAGACGGGAGACATGTTTATCCAGAACCTCCAGTCGCAGTTGTTCCCACACCTGGGCATTGACGGATCCGAGTTCATGCGGTGCATGTCCACGTCGGCGGACAGAAAGGCTTTCTCGGGTTATTTGCAGGGGCTGCTGAAGAGCCGTAGATAGTGGCTCGGCTTATTGCGGTGAAGGGGGTGTGAAGGCTTTACAACTATGAAGGACAGGTACAGGGAAGGGGATGGATTTCGGGAAATCTCGTCTTGGCCACTTTTCTTTGTTTACATATCCACTGGCCGCATCGCCTTGGAGTTTAAGGGAGGCATTAGAGATTAAATGACAAATGACAAAAAGACCATGTTCTATGCAAGTCCTTGCACATTGTGTTGGTGATGACCTCGCCGGCTGAAAGGTGGCTGTGCATGTTGGAAGACCCCTGAAATTCTTGCCCAGCCGTATAGCCGCAGCGCTTACACATTGAGACGACTCTCTAATTGGCTTTTGTATGCTAATAAGCCCAGCTGCATCTGTGTGGAGGTAACTGTCAGCCTGTTATCGAAATCGAAAGGAGGACACCCATCTCCCACGCCGAGCCTACCCAACGACTTTCCCTCTCTCCTTCCAATCTCACTACTCTCGTCGTCACAGACAGTCCCGCGACTCCATCATTCTGCAACTCCCACCCTGACATCAGCTATGTCTGATCCTCATATATACACCGTCGGTTGGATCTGCGCCATTACCGCCGAGTTTGTTGCCGCCCAAGCGTTCCTTGATGAGGAACACGCCGGCCCGCGACAGACCGCACGACACGACAACAATAGCTATGTTCTAGGCAAGACTAGCGGTCATAACGTCGTCATTGCTACCTTACCTAACGGCCAATATGGCACAACCTCGGCAGCAACGGTCGCTAGAGATATGCTCCATAGCTTTCCGAATGTGCGTATTGGGCTGATGGTAGGTATCGGTGGCGGCGCACCTAGCCAGAAGCATGATATTCGGCTCGGTGATGTGGTCGTCAGTACCCCAAATGGTGGACGAGGAGGCGTGTTCCAGTACGACTTTGGCAAGACCGTACAGAATTGCAAGTTCCAAGGCACAGGATTCTTGAACCAGCCGCCGTTGCTGGTACTCTCAGCCCTCACTACGCTTCAGGGCAAATATGAAATGAAAGGCCACCGGCTTATCGACGAAGTGGACAAGAATATCGGGAAGATCAAGAAGAAGAGCGCATACGGACAACCTGCTCAAGCAAGCGACAGGCTATATAAGCCTAAAATTGTACATCCTTCAAGCTGCTGCGATGACGTATGCGGCGATGATACCGCCAGTCTCATAGCCCGCCCTGATCGAGGCGAAGAAGATGACAATCCTGCTATTCACTACGGCTTGATTGCTAGCGGCAACCAGCTGATGAAGGACGCGCATATCCGGGACATGTTGATAAAAGAGAAGGACGTTCTATGCTTCGAGATGGAGGCTGCTGGTCTGATGAACCACTTTCCGTGCCTTGTTACCCGGGGGATATGCGATTACTCTGACTCGCATAAGAACAAGGAGTGGCAGGGCTTCGCGGCCATGATGGCGGCAGCTTATGCCAAGGATCTTTTATACCAGATTGCGCCAGACACTGTTGAGGCTGAGAAGCCCATCTCCAATTCCAGTTAGTTTGGCAAAACCCAACTCGTCTGACCCTATCTGACTGTAAAATAAGTTCAAGAGTTGCTTTCCGACATTCAAAAGGGTTTACAGTATTTGAAGCTCGACAAAGGCGAAAAGCTGCCTACCGCCCGAAAGCCCCAATCTGTTGTGCCATTCCGCCGCGACTCCGATTTCGTAAACCGGCCTGACATCTGGTCATGGATTGAAACGCGATACGCCGGATCTGAAATATGCTTTGCTCTCGTGGGCCTCGGTGGCTTTGGGTATGTCGCACCGGCTGTTATCAGAGGCCTATACTGACAAAGCTACAGCAAGTCCCAGGTTGCCATACAATTCGCTCATTAAGTCCACGATACGTCCCCCGATACCAGCATCTTCTGGGTCAATGCCAGTACTAAAGCGACCTTCCAAGACTCTTACCGTTCCGTAGCAGAAGCTCTGGAGCTCCCTGATCGCCACGACCCTGGTGTCAACATTCTAGCGCTGGTACGCGACTGGCTGCAGAGAGAGGATGTGAGCCGGTGGCTGATGGTTGTCGACAATGCCGATGATGTTGAGATGCTCACTAAGACGAATGATCAGAAAGATCCGCCAATGCCAATAGCGTCGTATCTCCCAAAGACAGGCAATGGCAAGATTCTCGTGACGTCGCGCAGCTGGGACGCGGCAGAGAAGCTTACGGATAATGGCGAGATGATCCTGAGAGTTTCGAAAATGGGGACATTGCAGGCCCTGCAGCTACTCCAAAAGAAACTCGGCCAAGATGTCGACGAAGTCACCGCATTGCGCCTGGCTTTTTTCCTCGACCACATTCCCCTCGCCTTGAACCAAGCAGCGGCGTATATACACAGACGAAGCCGGGGGACCATCCAGTCATACATGGACGAACTCCAAAAGAGTGAGAAGCGGAAAGACGCTTTGCTGCGTATCGACAGAGGGGATGCCCGGCGGTACCCCGGTGTGTCCAATTCTGTCGTTCTGACGTGGCAGTTGACGTTCGAGCAGATTAAAAAAAAGCAGCCTCGGGCGGCCGACCTCCTGTCGTTGATGAGCTGCTTCCAGGCACAGAACATTCCAGAGTATATGTTGCACCACTATGCCAGCGAAGTCTCGAGTGTTGAAGAGAGCGGCGACAACGACGATGGAGATTTGGAGGACGACTTGGAGGTGCTCCAGGGTTACTCCCTCGTCACGATGACAGCCAGATCAGGGTTCTGTGAGATGCACCCGCTAGTAAAATTTTGTACACAGGCCTGGATTCGGGATTTTGGTCTCCCAGAGCTGTGGAAGAGACGCTTCCTCAAATCTGCATCACGACACTTTCCATGGGGCGAATTCGAAACATGGGAGCAGTGTCAAACGTTAATGCCCCATTTACAACCACTACTCAATCAAAAACCTTCAGAAGAAAGCGACCGGTTGGAATGGAGCACATTAGCGACGAATGTTGCCGGCTACATGTTTGCGCTGGGCGACTACTCTCGAGCGGAGGTGCTAGCACAAGACGCCATGAGCATTTACATGGAAAGCCTAGGTCGGCAAGATCCCTCCACGCTGTCGAGCATGGCCCGCCTGGCTTCAATATATCGAGGACAGGGGCGGTGGAAGGAGGCTGAGGAGCTAGAGGTGCAAGTAATGGAGACGAGTAAAACCGTCCTTGGTATGGCTCATCCTGGCACATATAGTCGTATGGGCTATCTAGCAGCAACATACTGTCGTCAAGGGCGGTGGGCAGAGGCAGAGGAGCTATGTATGCAGGTAATGGAGGCAAGCTCGAGTGTGTTTGAAAAGTATCCGAGGACTCTTATTATTATGAGCGGTCTTGTGATAACGTACAAAGGCCAAGGGCGATGGGAGGAGGCTGCAGCGTTAGGTGAGCGGGTGAGAGATATAAGCATAAAAGAACTTGGAGAGGAGCATCCAAACACACTGATAAGTATGGGAAACTTGGCATCAGTTTATGACGGCCAAAGGCGGTGGGAAGAGGCTGAGAAACTTCAGAAACAGGTCGTGAACACTTATAAAAAAGTGCTTGGAGAGAATCATCCCTTCACGCTAGATAGCACAGGATATCTAGCATCGATATATAAGAAGCAAGGTAGATTCGAGGAGGCTTTAGATTTACAAGCGCAGGTGGTGGGCATACAGAAGAGGGTACTTGGAGAGGAGCATCTAAATACACTGGGAAGTATGGACAAGTTAGTGGATATGTTAAAAGCACAGGGTCGGTGGAAGGAGGTGGAGAGTCTAGAGGCGCAACTGCTGGAAACAAGAAAGAGGGTGCTTGGCGAGGAGCATCCGGATACGATAAGAAGTATGAACGGAATATGAGTTCTAGCTGCTGGCCAGGGCCGATGGGAAGAGGCTAAAGAGTTTAATATGCGGGCGATAGAAATGGGAAAGAGGGTGGTTGGAGAGACGCACTCCGACACACTAACTAGTATGTCTAAACTAGCGAAAACGTATAAGGCTCTGGGCAAATGAAAGAAGGCTGAAGAGCTGCTGTCTCAAGTGGTGGAAACGAGAATAAGAGTGCTTGGAGAGGAACATCCACGCACCAGATCATCTGCCTCTCGTCTTACAGCATGGAGATTACAGTCCCAGGGAAAGGGACACGAATGATCATGATCATGATCTCGTTGATCATGAAGAACCTTGGTAGCTGTAAGAAACAAGCATACATTGACACCAATATGTTCAGTCGCGAAGAGACTTATGCCATATATTATCGTGCGTCTATCACTGTTTACATCGCCGTTTTCCAATGGTGTTTAAGACGTGATTGTAGCCGTACATGACCATGGCGTGATATGAAGGGTTCTTGGCTCAAGAAACAACAGAGCCAATTTCCACGACCACAACTGCTTCACCAGAAGCCATAAACATATGTAGTCTGCTCGAAGAGCTCCAAAACGACTCCGTGGTGGCAAAGTCTCCAGTGTGGGACTGGACACTGTTGTAGAGAACGTGCTCGTGCCGACGACAGTTTCTTGGAGTGAATGTACCGAGGAAAATCACCACGTCTGGAGCAGACCAAGACTCACCGCCGGCTTCTCTACTCGGTCGAAAGAATGTCCGGATTTTGCGGCCTGGTATCCCCGACACTGGTCTTGGTAGTCCCGTCCGTCTTGAGCCTACCGCCGAAGGCCATATCAGGAGCTGTGTCAAGCCTCTGCTCGACAGGCAGTAGTCAGAACTCAGCTTTGTCTCATCGCGAGGGCAAAGTAGCGGCAATGGGTGACCACTTGATTCTTCATATGACAAACGGTTGTCAGACGGCTCAGATCTCGAACTCTGGACTGATCGGGAGGTCACTCGCAACGGAGCCCTGGACGCTTCCCACGCTCAAGTTCGGTTCCGCTAGCCGTGGGTCGACAACACCGCAGCGAGGCTGTGAGCGGTGCTCATACGTGCAATCTGCTGGTGAAAAGGGAGAATGGCGATACGACAGCCAAGACAATCATCAATATCTCTGAAGGGAGGTATCCGTCAGACTCGGCCGATTCGACGGTGCTCATATGGACTGTCTCGTATTTAGCAGGACCGCGGGTATGTCGAACCGCGAGACAGACAAGAGCTAGCGACGGGCCGCAGCCAAGATGTCTCGCTCGCACGCCGTGTGCTTGAGACACAACGCGTGTTGCTGAACCAGCTGGACGCTGTCCCGAGGCCGGGCCCTGCCGTGTTGTGCGTTGAGTCGAAACGTGTGTTGCACCACACACTCATTTGCCGTGAGACCTGCAGTAAAACATCAACATGCTCATGTGTATTGCCATTCAAAGCAAGGGCAGTACGGTAGTTGCTGATCCCCATGAGAGCCTGGCAGCGCAGTTGAGACCTGTCTGTTGATTTCAAGGGACCAGAATGTCTCTCGGGGCGTCAGTCGGAGCAATAGGTTTGGGAGACCCTTGGGATACAACTCTTGTGAAAAGCATCCCGGTACCGGGCGGTTTCTGGTCTGGGTGATGAGCATCGGGGACAATCTCAAGACGAAGCATCGGCGAGAGCCCAAATCGTTCGATACTCGGCGGTCTGCATGCGCAAAACAGCAACGTTCAGAGTGGCTCGAATTTTGCTGCTGCTGCTCCCTTGGCCACGCCACCTCGAAAAGATGAATGCAGAACCTCAAGCAACGTATCGGGCGCGTCAAGCAGTTCCTTGGTCTGCTGTCATCCGGTATCACGGGCAATCGAGTCCGGGCGTGGCAAGGGTAAAGAACAGAACGCGCGCTTCGAGCCAATAATGTAGGCGATTTCCCGTAGTAATCCGAATTGTCGACAAAAGCGGAATGGGAATATCAGCCGGGCGAGATCCTTCGTCCATTCAGCCACCAGCATTGAGAACAGGTTCCGAGGGAATGGTCGCTAATATCTTGCGGCGCGAACAGCCTTCTGAGCTTCATCGTACCCCTGAGGCGTGCATGTTGGCGCACGCGGGCATCCAAGTCTGGGGTTGGCCGAGGCCATCTTGACCCGACGAAAGACCTGCCTCTTGAAGGCGGCGCGGAATGGGCTCCTCTTGCGGGGATGGCTGACTGACCCCAAAAAATTGTCCGATATTTGCTTTTCGTATGGTCAGATTGCCTTCACACACACTCTTCACCCTCAGGCACAATGAGGTTTGGCGCCGGGCATTGGACCGAGAAGGCGGGTCAGATTTCCACTTACCTAGAATAGACAGACAGAAGCACCGTCAAATATCCCACAGGAGACACCCAACACGATCCCAGCCAGTCGCACGGCTTTCGATGGTAGATTTCCCAAACGGGACGCTGATGTCCAGAGTATGGAGAAATCGGCTGTGTGATCTACAGGCTGGTGTGGCGCCGAGCTTCCTGAGAGACGGGAGCTGCATGGTTCATTAAACTCCACAACTCTCTCAGTCCCGCCGCGTGATCGGAGGTTTTAGGGGACGATTGTCATTAAGAATTGTCGGTGAGATGAGGACTGAAAAGGGAACGATGCGACAAACGAGATCCATTGTTTGCCAAGACCCGCCGGGCCAGAGCAAACGCGCCGGCCAAGGGGCGCGCAAAAGCTTCGCTGCTCTGCTGCGCCAACGGGCCTCTCGGTTGGCTTCAGTGGCGTACAGAAATTGCATTCCAAATGTGAAGAAGCGGCGGTCTTGCTGGTGTTGTCTGTAGGTCTCACAGCCAAGAGATTAGACAAAGGCCTGGCCAAACGGCCAGTGGCAGCATGGTCGACGATGTGGTCATGTCAAATCACGCTGGACAGCCGATCCGATCAGGCCGCTGCCAAGAACCCGGAGGACAGACGGAGGCGGTCGACGGCGTGGCCTCGGGGCAACACTACCGCAAGCCGTGATGGTGACGGCGCTGGCAGTCCTGAATCGCGGCTGATTAAGGTTATCATTGCTCCTGTCAACGAAACCTTGCCGTCTGTGGTCCTCAGACGACTAGCGGAAAGTAGCCGTCGACGTCCAAGTCATGCCGGCAATCAAACACATTCGGCCGGCCGTCGGTCAGGCAGCCCAAGAGCAGGCATAACAAGACGTCATAAGGGTCAATCGACATGGGAGAGACGTTGGAGCCCTTGAGAGAGCATCAGACGATCTGGTGCGTCCACAATTATGAAACGTGCGATGAGCAGCACGCTGGAGCCCTTGGCTTCCTCGTGGGGCCGGCTGGTACGCTGCTGATAAGTCCGACATGGATATCTTTGAGAGACAATTTGCGATGCTTTTCCGACGTTGAAACGGCTCTTCTTTGTTCTGGGTCGCCGATGAGGGGTTCCTTGACCTTGGTTCCTGGCTAATATCCGTCTGTCGAGGAGCCAACAAGACGATGGACATGGCTGGTACGCTCATGAATTTCCTGAATCGATGCCATCCCCGACACCCAAGCACAAAACAACTTAAAGTAGAGAGCCACCGCAGTAGCGTTATTGTTCGCCCGAGTGGCGGCCATCTAGGCGTGGCAATGGCATGGCTGCCACGGAATCCAGACTCACGATATGGAGTCCCAGAAGCAAAACGTCAAAAAAACACAGACATCGGCGGGATGGGCGTGGCGGTCGGGGCTAAGCCGGTTCAGGCGGCATCAAGAAGTGCCGGGACAGTCTAACGAGACGAACTGGAGATTGAGATTGGCTTTTTGAGCTTGAAGGGACACGGTCAGTGGGCGCGATGGTCCGTGATTCTGACGTGTTGACAACGCTGATCTCGCAACGCTGGATGATGCCGCGGAGGATTTTCGCAAAAACCCATCCAGGGATGGACAGGGGCGGAGGGCTTGGTGGCAGGGGGGCTCGTCTTCCCTGGTTCTCATGTTGCGGTATCTGCGCCTCTGCGTTGGCTTCCGCGGCTCTGTGTGCATGTAGCCGTGACCGTAGGTGCATGCTGCGGTGTCTGTTTTCCCGCCGACGTTGGCCAACAAGTCGGATGGATCGTTTCCCTCCCAAGCGCTCAGTTCGAAGACGGGCAAGAATGGCGGGGATGATTTACCACGAGGCTCCATGGATGGACGTTGACGAGTGGTTCTCCCATTATTCTGGCAGCTTCGCGGGAAATTAAGCCGTAATGGACGGTTCGTGAAATGGAAAAGATTGACAGGAAGAGACTGAAAAGGGGAAATTGTGAGGATGATTTGCGCGGAGAAAAGGAGTACGTACATTGTGTGTATCCCAGAGGCTGACCATTTTGGAAATAGTGCCCACCAGCCCGGTTTATGTTCCTGCATTAGCACACCCTCCGCTTCGTTTCTCATGCAGGTACGTACTGTACAGAATGTTTTGCGCCTCGGGCCCCTTTGTGCCTGGTTTGTGCAAACATCCACAGACCAACTCCAGGGCAGGAGAAGGAGAAAAGGAGCCAGGGACACAAGGCACAAGGCACAACAAGGCTTCCCAAGGGGAACGCCCAGGAACCGCGCTCCCCTGCCTGGGCTGTCTCTCTCTCTCCTCTTTTGGCGGAGAACCCTGTTCGCAGTGTGCTCGTGCAGCATCTTTCTTGGTGGTTGTCACTGGCTGATCTTCCTTCACCTCCACGTTTCGGTGCATTCCCGCGCCCATCCGTTTTATTCCCTCTGCTCAGCTGGGCGGCCTCGTTGCCTCAGCTCTGGGCAGACCATGGCTTCGGATTGTCTCTCCCTACGGACGAACGTCTCCCAGCAGCGTCCGTCTAGAAGACGTCTGCCGCGTTCCTCTGCAAAACCTTCTATTAACCTCAGCACCGTGCAGACCTGGACGATCATCGGAGACTTCCTGCTGACATTCGTCGCCTATCCGTACGAAGACACTAAAGTACACGCACCACCGAAGCGAAGAGACAAGGCAAGGCAAAGCGAGTGAGCGAAATAACGACAGCCTGGATCTGCGAGCTGGCCTGCGCATCGTTGCAAAAGGTACAGTGTACGGCAGCTGACGTCCAAGTTGTGCAAGTCCAAGGGCCTGCGCGGTGTGTACAGCGTACAAAATCACACCGAACCATCGCCCACTTGCCCAATCAGTCAACCCATCCCTGTGGCC